GCTCCAGCCCTCTGATCATCTTCGTGGCCTCCTCTGGACTCGCTCCAAGTGGTCAATATCCTTCTGATATTGAGGGCTCCACAGCTGGACATTGAACATTCTTCAAGGAGGAAATCTTGAAGGAGCAGGTCATCCCGATGTGCTAAAAGGCGAGCACGCAGGGAAGAAGACCAGCCTGGCTGAACAGAGAGCTTTGGCTGGCAGTCAGGATAAGAAGGAGTTTATGACTCTGGACATAACAGAGGCAACTCAGGAGGAGTGCAGGGATGGTGAGAGGTTACGCAGGGAAAAAATTAGAAGGGCCAAAGCCCAACTAGGACTTAACCTGGCTTCTGCAGTAAAAGATGAAAAATATTTCTGTCAATACATAAACGCCAAAAGGAGGGCTCAGGAGAATCTCCATCCTTTGTTGGATGTGGGAGGAAACACAGTGAGGAAGTCATTGTCCAGGACAACCAGGCGGTCGGGCCCAGCCAGCATGGTTTGTGAAAGGCGGGTCCTGCCTGGTGGGCTTGTTCTTCTCTGACAAGGTGACCCGCTTAGTGCGGGCAGGATGGGCTGTGGATGTATGTAGTCGTCCTCGACTTTAGTGAAGCCTCTGACACTGTTTCCCACTGCATTCTCCTGGAAAAGCTGTCTGCTCATGGCTTGGATGGGTGTATGAGTTGCTGGTTAAAAATCTGGCTTTATGGCTGGGCCCAAAGAGTTTTGGTGAATGGAGTTCAGTCCAGTTAGCGCTCGGTCACAGGTGGGGTTCCCCAGGGCTCGGTATTGTATCCAGTTCTGTTTAAAGTCTTTATCAATGATGGGGACGTGGGGATTGAGTGCACCCTCGGTATGGTTGCTGATGACACCACGTTGGGCAGGAGCGTTGGTCTGCTTCAGGCTAAGAAGGCTCTTTGTTATGGTTGGACAGAGTAAACTTAAGGGTCTTTTTCAACCTACAGGAGTCTGATTCTAGTCTAATGCAAGCTCCTGATGCAATATTTGAAGGAAGTAATGAGGATCCGTGGTAATGAAGATCCAAAGGAATGAGCTGTGTACCATGAGGTACCTGTGCGTCGTGTTGAAAACCTAGAAAGCTATGTTAGAGATACTACCATGGAATCTGATTCATATTCAAGATCATCTATAGATAGATTGATCAGCCAATATGAACTCAGATGCTAGGAATGTACTTTTACACTGTTTTTTAAATGCTTGAAGTGCTGACACTGAGTAGCCATTACTTGGTCATGAGGAGTGATAGATGAACAGCTGCCTTTTTGGGGCTGAACTTGGGGCACAGCAAAGCCGCAAATTCCGTTCTGGTTTTGATGCAGCTGTCTTTGGTTGACAGTATAAAGTCCCACTTGGTTTAGCCAATTGACGGTTTGGACATGGGTTTCTAACTAGGTCTTAACTGTCTTGCATATTAATTTAGTATTTTCTGGGGAACCTACACAAAATAGCATTAATTCTTCAATGCTTCAGATACCTAAATTTTTACAAAGTGTTGTCATGCATCTTGTTGACTTCAGTAGGTGTTAGGAACTCATTGACCTTCGTTTCTATACTTTATGCTGACTTCTGCAATACATTAAATGAAATTTCAGATCATGGTTCTTTGTTTTCTAAAACAACTTGTTTTTTCTTCTGAAAAGAAACATCTACAGTTCTAAAAATTAAAGGTGCCGCTCAACCTCTTAACTGAGAAAGAGAACTTCCGTGCTTTGGCCAAAGGATATGGAAAAGTCGATAACAAAGCAGTACTTGCACTTGGTATAATGTATGATTTTCTCCCATTAACATTCCATGGAAACAACCTTTGTCTCTAAAAAGAATAAATCTTCCTCGGGGTAAGGCGAAGGTAGGCAGCAAACCTGTGGGATTGTAAAGGTAGCTTAAATCTCTTATGGGTAAGGTGCTGGGCACTACAGTGAAGTGTGGTCTAAGAATCTGTACAGAGCTTTCTTGTCTGGGAAGGGGTCTTAAATGTTGCATGTTCTGGTTTATACAATTAGGGAGTTATGCGGGTGACTGTTTTCACCATTGCATAACTTTCTGTCTTTGGGGCAGATACATGAAAGAGAGATTAATAGGTGGCTATATAGTTAAATATCATATATATGGTAAGAAAAATAAAAAATAGTAATTTATCTTAACTTTAGTATGTGAGTGCTTGACTTGGCAGCTTTGACAGGTGCTTCATTTAGGGTATGGTAATATGTAATTTTGTAAACACATGATAATTGTGGATGCCCCATCCCTGTCTATCTTCAAGGCCAGGCTGGATGAGGCTTTGAGCAACCTGGTCTAGTGGAAGGTGTCCCTGCCCATGGCGGGGGCGTTGGAACTGGATGATCTTTAAGGTCCCTTCCAACCCAAACCATTCTGATTCTGTGATTCTATGATTGTTTCAGAACCTCTGGATTCATTGCTTAGATCCACTTCTAAATGAAATCAGAAGTGGGAGGATATCAGTTTGCTAGCAAGTTCTTAGTAACTACTTGAAAGCTGAAGAAGGCATGGAGATAATTGCACATTGATCTTGTGTCTGTCCAGCATTCCTCAACCAGATGGTCATTTTAGTCTACCTCAGCTCCTTATTTTGGGTTTTGTGGGTATGTAGGTTCTGAACTTCTGTGTCCACTTCAGTTTGAATTTATCTTTGAGGGGTAAATCAGTTTGTTTCATCAGCTGAGAATGTACTACCTGCATTCAGCCATGTAGGATTGTCCTGAGAATCCCGGCTATGGATTCGTTCACAGAGTTGGTGTCTTCTTTCAGTGACCAACAGGAATTGGAGGAAAACTACTTTGTAACTCTGAAGTATTAGTTAGATTATAGTTTATACATAAATTACTGTGATTTGAGTGATAAACCTCCCTCCATGGATGGAAATCACAGCTGGATTAAGCAATCTAAATTTACTGAGGCAAAGCTGAACTGGAATAGTGTCTCACATGTGGGACAAAAAGAATATGTTCCTATAATGAAGATTATTTTCCTAAATTTAAAAATCATAATCTGTAGTCTGATTGTGCTGCACTGCTTTATGAAATAGTTACAAGAACTTCTGTTTTTGGAAAAAACAAGGTAGATTTTTTATAGTTGTCTCAGAAACACCCAGATATTCCAGGTGAAATGAGCCCTGTGTGTCAATGACCAGTTCAAGGAATTTCAGTGTCTGTTTGCCTCAAAGTTGCCAATCAGCTACTTGGTGTTGTACATGGTTAAGCAATCTACAACACCTAAATGTCAAACTGTATATACTGTGATTAAATAGGAACGTTTTATTTACCATATTCCTTTGATTCAGCAAGAGTGATTAATACGTCTCCTGGCTTTGCCTAAAGCTCCACCTCCTGTGAGGAACAGAAGTGTCAGCTCTGCTGTGTTCTTGTTCACCTGTGTTACCGGGATTATCTTCCATCTGCGGTTTCTTTGAGGCTTGGAGCAACCTGGTCTAGTGGAAGGTGTCCCTGCCCATGGCAGGGGGGTTGGAACTAGATGGTCTTTAAGGTCCCTTCCAACCCAAACCATTCTGTGATTCTGTGGTTCTTCGCAGGAAGCCAAGGTCCATGTCCATTGTGTGATGGGCAGTTTAGTTAAAGTGAGACCGCAGGATCCAGTTCAGGGAGTGCAGAGGAACTGCACTATGTGGTAGTTGTGTTGTTCTGGAATATGACGTTGTGCTCACCCTCTCTTGCCCCAGGAGACCTTGGTACCATGGGTGACACAGGATGCTTTGAGGTACAGAGTGAGTGAGAACACCATTGTGAATTTGCCTGTTAAATGTTAGTCAAGCTTAATTTGAATTGATGAGAAAACTGAAGTGAGGCATGATCTCCGTGCCCTCTGCAGGAGTCCACATTGTAAGGCCAGAAGTGTTCAACACCTAGCTCAGTAGTAATGATGTCCCCAGCTCCGACTTGGCCTTTTTAACAGCAGTGATTTTGTTCTGTATGTTTTGTGTGTTTCCACCTTACCTGAACTCTTGTTCCCACCTTGGTTTGCTTATAAACTCAACCTGAACTCTTGTTCCCACCTTGGTTTGCTTATAAACTCAGTCTGGGATTTGGCTGTAGAAACAGGACAGGACAGCTGAAAAGGGTCTCTTACCGAGACACTATTTCTGGATGTCTGAAACTCCACTATCTGGGTACCCAGTGTGTCTACTCGATCCAGTCTGACGGGCAGTGGAGTCCCGACCTGTTGCCTGCAGTGACAGAGTTCGGGCTGTGGGAGCGAGCTGGGCGGTGAGGGGTGGCTGGGATTTGGGCGTGTGGTAGCTGGCTGGAGCAGCGGCTGCTGCCAGCATGGACAGCCACGGCAAACCAGGCGTTCCAGAGGGAGACTGGGCAGCCCCGGGGCCGGCAGAGCAGCTGTGCCTGGCCGCAGGGGTGGAAGGGCGGGAGGCCTCAGCCCTGGTGTGCAAGGTGTCCCGGGGTTTATGGAAGATGTGCCCGCCTGTGAAGGAGCTGCTGCAGTGGAAGCCGCCCGCTGAAGGCCAGGTAGGGCCTGGCTGCGCTGCAGTGGTAGGAGGGAGGGCGTGCGAGGCCTGACAGCAGAGGCAGTCACCCCTCAAGCTGCACATCTGGGCTTCTTTTGGGCGGTTTTCCTTCAAAGCCAGGGCTGGTGGAAATGCAGCTGTTGCCCTCCTCTTGCAGCCAACTCTTTGCTTGCACCTCTCGAGCAGGTGAGGGTCATCTCTCCTGAAGCTGGGGTTGCAGCTGACGAGTCACTAAAACACACAAAAGGAGAAGAGTTAGTTACCAGACTTTGGAAATGGAAAAACACCAAGATAGGAGAATGGAGCCTTGTAACAGCAAAAGGCCAATTTGGGTTGGGAAAGGTCTACTGGGCATTTGAAACCTAAAGCTTAGGCTGACCACAGGGTTATGCTACTGTTTATTAAGTAACGGCCACCCTTGTGTTCTCACCTGAGAAATGACCTGAGAAAAAATGAACCTCTGGGCATTTCCTGCTCTCCTCCTCCTCTCCTCCACTGCCAAGGCTTATGTTACTGGATGGTGAAGCTCTTGTGCCAGTGTCATTCTGAGAGTGGGTTCATGTGCAGAAGGGGTGTACCTGGATGTGAGCAGGTGCTGCCACTTCTTCCAGAAATTCATCAAGCGAGTCAGGTGTTCTGGCTTCGCGTTGCACTTTGGTGACTCCACAGAGGCTGAGCTGATGAAAGCAGCTTTTCATGCCGGCAGTTTGAAAAACTCTGTGAGGTCACCTCTGTGCCAGCACTTTCCCTTTGGAAGGCTTCTTCGTCAGTGGCAACACAGATGCTGTCATCAACCCACCAAATAGACTGAAATGGATGGCGTTCGACAATTTTCCAGAGCTTCTTTGGAAAGGTGAGGGATGCAAAACGCTTTGCCAGAGCTGTCCTCTGAAGAAATGGGATGGACTGTGTTGGTTCTGTGGTCATCACTGCATGCTTGGAAATCCTTTTCTTTCTTGATGGATGCTAGAGCAGCATCACAGGATGTTCTTTTGTCCTGTCCTGGTGCAGAGAAGTCGAGTCTGCCAACTGCTTGTCCAGAGCAGCAGCAGATGACGTTTCTCCTGCAGACCGCTCCCTTT